AGTAGTAGTGTCGTACGTAGTAGTAGTAGTTAGTAGTAGTAGTTAGTAACGTAGTAACGTTAGGTAACGTAAAAGTAAGGAGGGGGGGGGGGGGGGTTAGGGAACCTCCAAAAATGAAAATCTTTAGCCAAACTGCATCACTCAAACATTATACTGTATAGCTTTTTCTTCTAATTACAGTGATTTACCCACTTTCACAATTTCCTGATCATGTTGACATTGCCATCAACAAAACTTCAAATTTTTGTTTAGTGCTTGTTTTTTAATCACATCGAGTTTGAGATATTTGGATTATAATCATATAACTTGGCACAGTGGTCATAAACATCAAAGCTCCATAATGCATTCTCATAGTATGTTACTACTATATCTAACATCAAGTCATCATTACCACCTGTTATTACCAAGAACTTTTGAGTGAAAGTGTATATATTTATTATAATAATATGTCAGAATCATTATATCTACTATATCCAGCTCTGAAAAAGCTTTTTGTCCAAAACCAAGATTCTTTACAGTAGCTGGGATAGGACAAGCTCAACTATAAAGTGTTACTAAGTTGAGTGAAGACAAAACAAATTGAGACAAAGACCAGGTTTTATATTCAAAAGTTACCTGACTAAATTGCATGTTGTCACCCATCAATAACTGTTCAAATATTTTTTTTCCCTGTTGTTACAAGAAACTTTAGCTAAACCAGGTTTTATTTCTTCAAGAATACGTTTCATAGTTAACAAGTTTTGAAATACATCCGTTTTAAACATTCAATATCTACTATTTTCAGTCATCACCACATCAGAAAAATAAACCTAAACTTACCTAACTACCCACGGAGAATGAGGAAAACAAATACTACCTCGATGTAAGTTTGTAGAATCGGCTCCATATTCTAACAGCATCTGTGCACGATCAAAATGACCAGTGGCAAAAGCCAGCCATAAAGGACTATGACCTTGACAATTCTGTGCATCAATCTGAAAAAGCCAATGAAAGTTTAAAAGATAGCTCTTAAAACTCGAGAAGTGCAAAACAGACATCTCAGAAAAATCAAATAGTCAACAGATAAAATAGCTAGTGCAGAGTAACAAAATGTGAAATTTATTCACTAAACTTTGGTTGAAAGTAAAAGTTCATTGTAAATAATTAAGTGCTTCCAATAACGATCACAATTCTTTCAATACGAAAATTAACTTCAAACACAATGTATTTGAAATAGATGCAAAATAACACATACACAAAATAAAATGATCTGATAATTACACGTTTTAAACCTTTCGTACAAAGAGCTAGGAGATTACTGGAATTTGCTAATCAGTTAATTATCGGGCTTATTAATTGATTACATTCAACTATCTGATTAGTCTTGCGAGACTTCGATAATTAGAATAATTGAAAATATTAATAATCAGAAACATTAATTTCAATTATTCGATTTTCTTGAGTCATGACACTAATTGATTAAGTTGAACAACCTTAAATTAATCAAAATATAATAAAAAGAAATTATAATGGCAAGATTTTGATTACCTGGATAGCTAGAATAATCAGAAACATTAATTCTGATTAATCAGTTATTCTATGATACACTAATCGATGCTTCTCAGGTATCAATTAATCAAGATAATCTAACTTTGTATGCAAGTTTGTGCTCCCATGTATGTCAGAAAGAACATTTTTGCCATAATTACTAGCAACTGAATTGGAATTTGCTTTTCATTAACATATAAATACAAAGAAGCAAAGGCAAATGAATTTGTATAAATATATCTATATACGTCAAGACTTAACAATATATTCTGCCTGATACAAGTTAAACTTTCCTCCTATGTAAGTAAAGTAGAAACAGGAGGGTGCAATGTTACGAATGATGTATAACACTCCGATTCACCTTATCATGGGAACATGTAGCTCCTGTGAGAGTTACATACTCGTCATGATCCAACACACCACACCTACAGTGTACAGTCATTGTTAACAGTTCAACCTGATTTTATATCACTAAGTACAAGTTACAGCATTATTACCTAAGTTTATACACACCACAACTACAGTATACATTCACTGCTAACAGTTCAACCTGATGTTATATCACTCTAAGTACAAGTTACATCATTATTAGCTAAGTTTATACACACCACACCTACAGTATACATTCACTGCTAACAGTTCAACCTGATGTTATATCACTCTAAGTACAAGTTACATCATTATTAGCTAAGTTTATACACACCACACCTACTGTATACATTCACAGTTCAACCTGATGTTATATCACTCTAAGTACAAGTCACATCATTATTAGCTAAGTTTATACACACCATACCTATTGTATACATTCACAGTTCAACCTGATGTTGTTATATCATTTTTAGTATAAATATAAGTTATAGTTATTTATAAGTGACAATTTTTATGTTCTCACATCTTTTACACCAGTTCTTTTTCTGAATGTTGACAATTTGTATGTATATTTTTGTTTCCTACATATCAAACATTATTGACTTTAATCTTTCATGAACACAGACTTCTACAAAAAATATTTGGCAGAATTACTTACCATTTCTGAAAGATACTTAATATATTTAACTAACAGCTTGTTAACAAAAAATGTAAATATATTCATATCCAGAAAAGTTAAAAAATTTATGAAGACAATACCCGTGATCCTGCAAATAACAGATACATTAATTTATTTACTGAACAGTAAATTCCAAACAATTTCTACATAAATAATACAAATATGTGGCTGCACATTTTTTGAATAATTTACATATGGCCACATAATCAAATTCTGAATTTCTAAACTTAATAAAGTCAAGTATAGGTTAGGGTTACCAGATGAACGACTTTTGACCTTGTTTCTTGTTGCTCGACAAGCAGTGGCTGCTGCCCAAATAGTCTGATTAACTGAATGTACTGGAGAAGGAATGTTGTCTGTAATAACAAATTTATTATGTGTATCTATAAAAAAATGTCCGTTGTTCACAAAAAATCAGATGAGTCACAAATGTATTTGTGTTTAAGATATGTGTGTGAACTGACAGATGTGTGTGTGAACTGACAGATATGTGTGTGTGTGTGAACTGACAGATATGTGTGTGTGTGAACTGACAGATATGTGTGTGTGAACTGACAGATATGTGTGTGTGTGAATTGACAATGTCAGTCAGACACCAGACAAGTCAGGGTGCAAGGTGATATGAAGAACAGAAAAGCGTTTGTCCATTGTACAGTTTGCATGTTGTATTTTCAAAATCTCTAGAATGTAGATGGCCAACTGACGGTTTATATGATGGATCTGTTCTGCAAAGGTATTTTATCTAATCCATTTTTGTTTTCAAATCATATTTTATTTTGGATAAACTGGCAAAACAAAATCCCACGAAGGTTCCAAGAAATTTCTTCAAATGTTAACTCGGTTATTTATATGGTGTTTAATAAATAGCTGAGTTACATACATATATTCTGAACATAATTTACCCAATCATAGTTTCAGCACCAAGAATACAGTCTACGTAAGAAAATGGGCCACGAGCAAAAACAAGCTGGCCATCCCTATTTTACAACCTCCATAATGCACAACTACAAAAACAAGCTGGCCATCCCTATTCTACGACCTCCATAATACATAGCTACAAAAACAAGCTGGCCATCCCTATTCTACAACCTTCATAATACATAACTACAAAAACAAGCTGGCCATCCCTATTCTACAACCTCCATAATACATAACTACAAAAACAAGCTGGCCATCCCTATTCTACAACCTTCATAATACATAACTACATTTTTTCATTATCCCTGTATTTTCTCTCCTCTTCCATGAACTGTCACTACATCTACGATGTACGTTAAAATGAATAGTTGATAACTCTGATATCAAATAACATAATACCATGTTAAATTGCACTGTTTTACAGGATAGAGAGCCTTGTATAAACCAGTGAACATTAATCTAGAATTAACTGACTTGCATTACCAAATTAAATGTACAAAACGAGACATGCGGGAACTGCAAGCAACACAAAATCATGAATATCATACATACTATAGTAAACTTATAAACTTGACAGCTGTTACACATATAATGCAGCATAAAAACAAGGTATGGATTAGGTGTTTGTTACCACACTACTGTCACTAATATGGAAATTAATGACACTGATACACTCCTGAAAACCAGCCATATGGAGTTGATGCAATACTTACTCCATCATCCAAACATACAGGTGACCAAAGCTTTAAGTTTTATTAAGTAGGTTAAAGAATGGAAATTAATGACACTGATACACTCCTGAAAACCAGCCATATGGAGTTGATGCAATACTTACTCCATCATCCAAACATACAGGTGACCAAAGCTTTAAGTTTTATTAAGTAGGTTAAAGAATTCGAGCAAGAACGTGAAGAATGGTGTTTCCATGATGATCCTCTCTTTGAATGTTTGCCCCACTTTCACAAAGTCTACTAACCAGTTCAACATCAGGATATTGTTGCACCAGATAATGAAGCATGGGTAGTTGTAAAGTATATCGTAACTCAACTTCAGCTCCAAATGCTAAAGATAACACAAACTATATTTATTAAATAAAGCATTCTACTTCAGCCAAAATACTTATATTCAGAAGATAGTTACAATAATAAGACATGGAGTTTCTTCATTATAAAAAAAAATGAACTGCTGAACTTTTTTTTAAATACCTTACACAAATGACTGGCTTTTAAAATAGTAGATTTTTACATTTCAAAATTTTAATATCTACATATAAGTATTAGGTTCTTAATTCAAAATAGCATTTGGGTGAGTTCAAAGAAGTATGAAAACAGGATGTTCCAACAAATAATGGTTTTGGGATTTATATTCTCAAATGTGCATCATATAATTAACCTCTTTCTTTGTGGCTGCTTTTTAAATGACAGAATTTTGTGAGCCATACACTGTAAACAACACACTCGCATTCAACTGAAGGAGGCAGATCGTACCCTATATGGCGAACAACCGGCAATAAATTAACAAAAGCATCTTAAATCATTCGTTTAAATACCAGATATGAAAACATTTAAATGAAAGTGTGGCATTCATATACCCAGGTTTTTTACAATTAAGCTATACAGCAAATAAGGGAACATTTTGCAAAAAAAAAAGTTAACACGGACATCAAAAGAAAGAAGCAGGTATAAGTGAAC